GTATCAGCAGTTCTGTGTGGGTGCGTGTACCACTACTGATTGTGGTTACACTGACCTGTATTCTTGTGTGCTGATTGTGTAATGGTGGTGGTGTGGTGTGACTCAGGTCATCCTTTGTTTTCATTTTTTGCATACATCCCTACAGTCTAACTAATCTTTCACCTGTTGGGATTTTCTTTTCTTTTTTTGTTTCTTAATATTAATGTGTTTTGTGTGTTGTTTTTGCTCTCTGTGTGTTTATCCTATAATTATTATTATTGCTACTCCATTGTGTGTGTGTGTGTTCTTGGAGACTCTCACTGTGTGTGCACCTGGGCTTGCACTGTAATGATGATGATGAACTGCCTTTTTGCAGGGGAGGAAAAAATGAAATAATAATAAGAGATGAATTTATATTTATAATTGCGTATATACATACATATATAGACTTACACCCATTGTTGGTGTTTTTCTTTGTGTTTACTGGATAAATTGGGCTAATAGTTAATATCTCTTTGTTTGCTTTTGTTTTGTGGGTCGTTGTGTGTTTTGTCCTGCAATGTTATGACCTACTTTGAGTAGAGGAAAGAAAAAAACAGTTATTGTTAGATATAATTTCATTATTGCTTATAAGCACCAGCATACCCAGTTTTCTGTGTTATTGCATGTTTATTGGGCATTCGTTGTGCTTTTAATTTCTTTTTCTTTACTTCTTGTTTTGTTCGGGGTTTTTTTTTAGTGGTGCCTCTTTTTTGGATTCTTTATTGTTTATACTGGTAGTGTTGTTTCTGTTTACTGTTGTTTCTATTGTGTTCTGTTTTACCACCATCTTTTTTTTGTTTTTCTATTGTATGGGATATTTTTATTACTTTTTCTCTCTGTTCTCTTTTTCTTTAACAAAGTGAAGTAAAACAACCAAGAATTACTCTTGCCATGATGATGCGACCCGTTGTGTGTTTAGTGGTTTTTCTGCTGAGTGTTGCCTATGTATGTGTGGAAGCTAACGGTCAGCCTGGTGCGGCAGATGGACTTGGTGGTACTGGTGGTGTTGATTTGGAGTGCCGTACTGGTACTACTCATACTGACGGTAAATGTATTGCTAATAAAGAACCTCGGCTGGAAGGAAAAAATGAGAATAAAGGTTGGGATGAATCGAATGAAGGGCTTGGGAAAGATGGGGTTACAAATGGAAAGAGGATTTATCATCCCGGTGTGTCGGATCTTGACGTTATTGATGACGTTTTAAAGGTGCCAAAAGGTGACACCACGTCGATAAAACAAGAACTGGCTGATAATCTTCGTGGTGGTGCCAAGGGACCAAATCCTGGAGAGACTTTACAGAGGGAGGAAGAGGGTGTTCATAGTCATGTCACACATCCTGAAGAGGGACAGCTGGAAACACAAAAAGGACATGAAAGAAAGGAGTCACGGGATCCTGAAAGTACACTTCAACAGACGAAGGAAACACGGGAGAATGAAAACCTGGTTCAAGAAGACCGTGAGGTGGCCCGCCCATCGGTACCTTCTGTAGGTGAGCCAGAGTCAATTCCTGTTGAAACTACAGCTACAGTTCCTTCACCAACAAAAGCTGCAAAACCACACAGTGCACCAGAAGGTACGCCTGAATCAGAAAGAACTGTAAATCCACCAACAGGGGAACACACAACTGAAGAGGTTAATACCAATCAAACAAACCCACAATCACAGTCTGAAAGTACCCCAACAACTTCACAAGAAACAAATACCACTACTCCACCGAGCACCGAGAACACTACCGCAGAAGCACCAACAACAACTTCATCACCTGTAGCCAATGCAGTGATCACCAATATTGCCTCCACTGTAAAGAACAAGGGTAATGCAGACAGCAGCAGCAGTATCAGTCCTGTGTGGATGCGCACTGCAGCACCGCTGCTGATTGTGGCTGTGTTGGTCTCCGTTACCGTGTACTGAACGGTTGGACTCATCTACGGGCAAATAATAATAATAATGGTAATCCTAACATAATCATAATTGCGTACATCCCTCATGGGTGAATAAATTAATAATCTTTTTATCAGCTTTTTCTTTTAATTCGAGTTTTTTTTCTTTTACTTTTGTATGTCTTCTTTTTCTAATAATTCCATTACTTGCTTTTCCCGTTGTGTGTGTTTGCAGAAAACTGGGCTGTTCTGCTCACTGATGGTATACATCTCTTGCTAGTCCACAGATATGTGTCTGGAGTAATTTAATACATAAACTAGAGCCATGGGGTATTGTGTGTATTTGTCTCTCTCTCTGTGCGTGCCCAGGCTTGCAGTGTGATAATAATGATGAACTGCTTTTTGCAGTGAAAAGAAAAGGAAATAATAATAACAGAT